AATAACTTTTTTTTTGTAAATGACCCCAACAATGAATTATCTTAAATATATTTTCATGAACATATGTTGACGATTATTTTTAGATGACTCGGAAATGAAGCATTGGCACTCTTTTTTTCACTTGCCCCCCCCCCCCTGGATTGATTTGTTAAAAATTTTTTATAAAAAAAAAGAAAAAAAAGAAAGATATTACTATTTTTGAAATCTTGGCAGCATAAGAATACTTATCACAGCAAATTAAAGTGAAAGAAGGCGTATCTAAAAAAGACCAGGTATACGTGAGTGAAAGATCGAGCACAGCTTTTTCAAACACAAGTAGGAGGGGTGGGGATCGGGAGGTGGCGGACACGTGTCAAATNTCTCTCTTATACACATATATATGTGTATAAGAGAGAGTATATATATATATATATATATATATATATATATATATATACAGTTGGTGAATATAGTTTTAATCAATGAAAGAGTTTTTATTGTCTTTTTTTTTCCAGCAACCATTAAACCCTAATAATTTAAAATTAATTCTTTTCTAATCATCCATTAAAATCGTCTTCAGGTCAAATCAGATTGTGCCACCATGAAATTTTAACACAAAATTACAATTATTCAGTGGGAGATGACATGAGTATACTATTGTGCGTAAATATGGACAATTACAAAAATATGGTTCTACGGCTAAATGAAACAACTTTGTCCAGCAACACTTCACGCAAGCACAACTACCAGCTGGTGGGTTATAATGGTAACACGACGGAACTTTGGATCAATATCACAATAAAAAATATAACCAGATTCGACTTTGGGCTCTATGTGATTAGAATAGTTCATCCCGGTGAAGGGCAGGTGAACTTGACTTTGTTTCTGTCAGAAAAAGGTATTGCTTACATTTTTACGTTTTAGCACTTCAACAAAAATCTGTCGCGTTTTTCTTTTTGTTTCTTTCTTGTTGTTGATCTACTGCCGATCTGTCAATAAACAGCTAATGTCATTACATCGATCCATGAATTCTAGACAAAGACTTTTCTTACAACTGTATATTTGAATTTTCCACATCTACTTGCCTTTTGAGTTTCAATGTCTGCACTTGGTTTGCACGAACAAGTAAAATCAATAATTATTAACTATACTATGTGAAAATTATCATGAAGTTATGCGATTTTAAACAGGTATTATTTTATTTATTTTAATAATGATTATTATGATTATATTTTTGTTTTTGTTTTTTAATTTAATGAAATAATTTAAAGGAATACATATATAAGAGTTTTTGACTAATAGTCTTAAATAATCAATTTAAAACCGGAAAAGGGGGTTACATTGATATAATATAGTCTATTTTCTAGGAAAAAAAATAGTGGAAATATAATTTTGAATTTTTAAATACATATTAACACTTCTTTTATATATATAGTAAAAATGGAATCAATAACAATAATTTTAGATTCGTGGTTTTTGAGTCTCATCCATAGATCGCGCTGCTGGTGTTGCTGAGATGCAAAACACTAAAGAAATTGTAATTGCAGTTGTCATATCAATTGTAGTAACATCCGTTGCTATCCTTTGTATCATTGTAAGAAATTCAGGTACAAATCTTTGATGCAGTCTACAAACGTCAATTACTAAGACGATTTGTGATTATATTTACAATTTTACGACATCCAGCAAGTGTTTTATTTTTTTCACTTATTGGTGTCGTACATTTTACTATAATTTTAAAAATATTTAAAGACTATCTTTACTTTTTAGTGAGTTTAAAAACTGGATTTCAATATATTTCGGTATCATAAGAATCTGGTTAATTTTTGCTTTCCATCACTTATTTTAAGTATCAGTTATTTATTGAAAATATTTGTGTTAAATGTTTATTACATTATGTAATTATTCTTCTACATACCCATCATTATTTTATTAGGGAAAAAAATTATTCATATGGCACTCTTCAGATTACAAAAATTAGCATTGGAGATAATATAAATTAATTTGTTATAACCAATGTTTCAGACTATAACAACCATAAAAAAATTTTAAGCAAACAAAATTTAGACAAATGATAAACATGTGATCTATTACTACAGGTTGTGTGACTGGAAGATACGTAAACACACAAATAACTTTTGCATATCGACACACTCAAGGCACAAGGAAACACAGCTTTGTTGAGAGTACTAACCGTGTTAGTTTAGATCAAATCTATATTGATGTCATTGATCAGCCATGTGCGCAACTGAGAACCGGTCATCAGGAAGTGACGCCATGTCAGTTAATGAAAGGAACGGAAATACCGTCAGGAGAAGATAACCAGTACGAGTCCATTGACGAGCTCTGTCTTTACGAATCCATTAGAAGTGAAAACGTTGGATGCAGTGATGTGTATCACAATGTCCAGGGGGCCAAGGACGACGAGGGAAGTGTACACAAGTATGAAACTATAGAGGGCTCGCGAGATGGCGGGAAAGGCAATGTAAATTATTGTATATTTTTCTAATTTTAAAAAAAAAATGTTTTTTGATGTTATTTAGACACCTTATTTAAACGTGACATTTCACCAATCTCACCATATGCTGTTTAACCAGCATGTTTGCACTTTTTAAAGTGTTTCCTGGTTTTTACTTAGCATTATTTATTCACATTATGTAACGTATAAATATATCATTTATGACATTGAATGTCATAATTTGCTATTGCTGAAACATGTCCGTGAATTCAGTCTATGTTTAATCCATTTTTTATCATTGTTGTTACTTTGCTGTGTAAATTAACCTACCAAACCTATATTAGAGCGACAAATAAACATATAATAATAGCCAATTTTGCATGAATACATTTATTGATTTTAGTTTATTGCATTAAAATCTGTTAAGTCGATAAAATCAGTTTTGTTCATTTCTAAAGAGTTTTTATTAATTAAATTTTTTTTTCAATTATTCTGCTTCAGTAGTTGAATTTTGTTTAAACAAATCTATACCTTTAAACAATCAATACAAAATAATTACATTTTTAACATTTGAAGCACATTTGAAACGGATATACAACTTTATGTACGAAAATATTTTTAAAAATTGGAATTGTATCTTATATGTATTTTTCTTAATTAGCTTATAACTACGTAATATTTTTAGTTTTTGCTTTTTATGTAATCTCGAAAAAAATATTTTTAAGGAATGCAAAACAAAAAACAAAAAACAACATAAAATTATAAATTCGTCATTTCAAAAGAAGCAATTCTGTTCAACATTTATGGAAATATGCATTGGTTGTACAAACTTCACTAATGTATTTTGCTGTCAAGCATTCGGACCGAAATAAATGAGCAAGATTATTCACAAATGTAGATGATTTTACGAAACTTACGACTTATTTTCAAAGGCAGTTAATTACAATGAGTCTCAAACGGTAGTCGGAAAAATGAGGTAAAGTACCGAAAAGAGGGCTAATGGGCATACATTCTAAAATGTGTATTACATTCGTGTTTTGGTACCAAATATTTTTTTTCTCGCAATACTTCATCTGGCCACTGTAATTTAGAAATACCCCTAACATTTTGCTAGTTATTTGGCAGCGAGCATAAGCTCATGTTTATTTTTTTTTAAATGTTATATTTTTCTAGTCCCCTATTTTATATAATTCTCAAAGGCATCGCTAGAGTTTACGTACCCAGTGTGGTACACTCGCGGTGTTCCCCATGGACCTCTGAGTCAGTCTGCTCTGGTGACACCAGTCTCTGGTGGTACCCGTCTCTGGTGACACCCGTCTCTGGTGACACCCGTCTAGGGTGGCACCCGTCTCTGGTGCCACCCGTCTCTGGTGACACCCGTCTCTGGTGATACCCTGCTCCGTTGAGAGTGGGCACACTACTTACATTGAACACCAAAGAAAGTATTAAAATTTCTCTGACATGAAAAGCCTCAATTTTGATGTCATTGTATCAAAATGAAAGATAAATTCTTAAATTTTAAACAAAAAAAATGAAGTTGATTTTTTTTTTTCAAAGAAATTCCGTTTTTTTTCCATGATTATGATTTATTGGAAAATATGTTGCATTTTTTTATAATTATAATATATTCTTATATATAATTAGATTTGATTTTTTTTTAAAAACTAATTTAGGATTATATCTTTTTTTTTCATTTTAAATTTGGGGTGGGGGTGGGGGCAGGGTAACGTTGGAGTAAAAAAAAAATTAAGGTAATGGCTAAACATGTTTACTGATCCCTGGTCTAAAACAAAATCGCTCGGGACTTTAAAAAATGACTTTATAAGGCTTCTAGATGTAATGATTAAAGTATTATTCTACAGGAGGGTTGGAATGCAGTCAAACTCTCACCATCAAAAGAACCATTTTATATTGAATCGGTTGGTTTGGCAGTGTTTGCTTCGTGTATATAATTCACCATTTTATCTTTAAACGTTTCTTACCAAACCCAACATACAAATGTTTAAAATAAGCACCATATTCGACCAACATAAGGCTTTACACAGAAATGTGTAGTTAATTATGGCAGCCTTACATTAACTCGGTGGATGATTAATTTATATGTTGACACATAAGTGATGAACAGTAGGCTTAAGACGATGACACATTATGTGCTTGAAATGTATGATCACAAATGAAAAACACTTGAAAATCATGACCTTGAATTTGTATTGGGGAAAGGGAGGAGCTGATTATTGGTAAGTGGCTTTGACTTAAACACGACACATTATTGTTTAAGTTTTTGTGGGTTTTTTTTTTTTTTTTTGGTCTTTTTTTCTAAGCATTGGGTTTCCTTCAACTTTAATGTTAGTAGGTTTCGGGGAAAAATCACACCAATGGATTCATTTTTTTTTTTTTTTTTGTTTGGTTTTTTTTTTTTTTTTTGGTCTTTTTTTCTAAGCATTGGGTTTCCTTCAACTTTAATGTTAGTAGGTTTCGAGGAAAAATCACACCAATGGATTCATTTTTTTTTTCTTTTATCAAACATATTTTATTGAACTATTGATAAGAATGGTTCAATTTAATTCGGTTTAATGGTGTTTTCAAAACAGGAGTTTTACACACAAAATATTAAGAGTAAAGAGACATGTATAACAGAAATAAATATCTTTCAGTTTCGATGTACTTTTCGACTCTGTTAACTATTTGGATGTATATACTGTCATTGTCACCATTGCAGCGCTGCTTTGGTAAGTCCGATCTGATTTTTTTTTTAAATAACCATCATAAAGCATCGTAAACACATATAAACTGAATAAATTCTCAGGATTTCTTAATCTTATATAGAAATTGAAATATGTCCGCATAAAGAGTAAATGAAAATATTTATCAGAAAATAATGTTAAATAGTTTTCTATATTCGATGGTTCTATTTAAATGTAAGACGCATGTATACTCTGAAATAGCGTCTTCTTTGCGATATGTTCTGGTTAAAGGCTTAGTAAAACGAAGTCTAGCATTTTAATGCAATGTTTTATTTTCTAAACACGTATTTCTAATGTCCAGGCAATCCCTCGCTATGCAACAACCAGCAAACCATTGTGTTTCTCGAGGCAAAGCTCGGCACAGATGCTAGAGCGTCAATCTGTTTTGTCGGCAACGGCACACGGATCAAAAAGTTTGATTTGGCGTATAACTCAAGATGGATTCGACACGACGGAAGTGACGACAAGATCAAATTTGTCATTATTCGAAACCCATCTTTTCCAATCCACTACACGCTCAACCTGACTGTCAGAAATATCGCAGTGTATGATTATGGCATTGTGGACATCACTTTACCCATCGCCGACAGACAGGCGCTGCATTTTAAAATGGGGATATTTTCTGACGGCAAGTCTCAGTAGTGCTTGAAAATAAATAAATAATTCATTGATCTGTAGATTGGATTTGTAGTATTTACATGTATACGTTCATCTTAATCTATGTTATGAGCAATTACCAAACATAATTATTGATTTCAATTCCAGGCAGAGGAAATGTTACCTTTATTCATAACACAACAAATGACCACTTGTCATTATTCTGCTCTGCGACAAGCTATCCGAAGCACTTATCTCTAGGACTTCGCTCTGGCAGCACCACCTTCGCAATCGAGAACAGCAAGCTGAAGCCCGTACTAACATTGCCTGCTAGTGTTCCTATAGAAATGTGTTCAGAAATGGGAATATACCAGTGTAACGTAACTTACTTTCAAGGATATGCACAGACCAAAGAGTTGCACGTTATTTTGGGGAACTGTTCGGGTAACTATGATTATTTTTGTAATGTATAGATATGTACTGGGTAACTGCACTTATAAGTTTTTAATGTAGAGATATGTACTGGATAACTGCAATTATAAGTTTTTGATGTAGAGATATGTACTGGATAACTGCATTTATATTTTTGAATGTAGAGATTTGTACTGGGTAAATACGTTTATAATTTTCAATGTAGGGATATGTCCTGAGTAACTAAATTTATAATTTGTAATGTAGTTATATGTAAATTACAAAGAGTAAAGGTACTCCAGGCATACATCCAAACAAAGAATATCTTGCAGTATTAAGTTCATTTTAATTTATTCTTTTTTGTTTGTTTAAATGACGTATGAACTTATTTAAAATTCCACAGTAGGAAAGTTGTGTTTCAAATAAATTATTGACTAAATAACGTAAATGAAATAGTTCTGATTAAAAAAAAAAGCTAAGCATATCTGACACATCGTATCGTAGCTTTTAAAAGTGCATAAATTATCGTTTAAACAGAGATTATGATTTTATGAAACAATCTTAATGTAAGACATGTGCTTGAATTGTGTATAAACCTATTTACACCCTCTGAAATAATGTAAGCGTTGGCCACTATATCAATTTTAAAATAATCCTGGTGGGTGTTATTTTAAATATATTAATTTGACCACACTGAAATATGTGTTTTAAACACGTATCAACAAACTAAAAATAATTATTTCCCCAATTTTTTTTATTTTTTTTTTTTTTTATTTTTTTTGCAAAGGCCCTTTAATTTCCATCTGTCTTCTTAGCTACAAATATTGTACCGTTACAATATCATTGCGAATCGTTAATGAAATTCTTGAAATGATTTGTTTTAAAAAAATGTTCCGCATTATCATACGTGCATTTAAAATTAAATATTTTCAAGAAAATTGTATCCGCATCAAAACATTTTGCTTATCCATATAATTGGTGAAGACATCATTCACTACAACCCTTATACTTCCTGGGGACATTGCTTATCCATATAATTGTTGAAGACATCATTCACTACCACCCTTATACTTCCTGGGGACATTGCCTATCCATATAATTGTTGAAGACATCATTCACTACCACCCTTATACTTCCTGGGGGACATTGCTTATCCATATAATTGGTGAAGACATCATTCACTACCACCCTCATACTTCCTGGGGACATTGCTTATCCATATAATTGGTGAAGACATCATTCACTACCACCCTCATACTTCCTGGGGACATTGCTTATCCATATAATTGTTGAAGACATCATTCACTACCACCCTTATACTTCCTGGGGACATTGCTTATCCATATAATTGTTGAAGACATCATTCACTACCACCCTTATACTTCCTGGGGACATTGCCTATCCATATAATTGTTGAAGACATCATTCACTACCACCCTTATACTTCCTGGGGACATTGCTTATCCATATAATTGTTGAAGACATCATTCACTACCACCCTCATACTTCCTGGGGACATTGCTTATCCATATAATTGTTGAAGACATCATTCACTACCACTCTTATACTTCGTGAGGATAATTTCAATAGACCAATGAAAACCTTATAAACAATTATTTTTTTCCAAATGCTATTTTTGCAGACAAATTAGAACTCTGTAAAGATCAACCAAACTACATAGAGGTGTTTGGTGCTGTTCATGATAAGGTCAGGTTTTCAATCTGTCTTTTGACCACCCCAGTAATACTTGTACCTTTGGTGAGGATTATGTTCAGCTTGAACAGGGGACATCCGTTAACATTTAAGGTAGTGAAGGAAAAAGGTTTTCAGTACATTGAGTTTTCAACCGAGCGTGACTTGGAGATTAAAGACTTTGGGAAATACACTATAGGTATCGGACCACATATTAAAGTTACAGTGGAGCTGAGGTATAGGGGTGAGTAGAAAATAATACTAAAGCTTTTTTCTCTTTAAGGCGTATCTGTCTCAGAAATAAAAAAAAATTATCTTTTTTTAACAAAAATTTACGAACATACATTTTTTTCATAAATAATGTTTAAGGACAAAGACAAATTGCAATTATCGTCAAGCCAATAATATGTTAACAAAATACAATGAAACATTAATTATTAATGTTTCATTGTATTTTGATTGTTAACTTATTAAAAACACAATAGACCAATTTATAAACTTGTGTTATGGATAAAAATGAAATAAAATTACCATAACGCTTGGTAAATGCATATGTTTAAAACCAGGCATATTGATTAGATGGTACAATCCAAGGCAATACAAAATGATAAGATATTTGTTTCATATTCATTTAAAGGAGTACTCCAATTAAAAGCATGTTTCAAAAAGCTGTTGATTTTAGAAATCTATTCCATAATTAATAAAAAAAAAAAAAAACTGCTACACATACAAAATACTCTTTTAATATCTTTGTTGATATATAGATGCGTTTGAACTCGTGTTTTCAGTTGCTATAGCATTCTGTGACGGCAAGACAGAGTTAATTAAATACATAGAACCGGGCGATGCAGCCATCTTCAGCGTTTGCGTGAAATCTTCAGACCTCTATGAACCTTTTGAGATCAACCAGCGGGCAGTGTTCAGCAACACGTCGACCTATCAGTACAGAATGCTGGCGGCTCCGTCGGAGAGGGACGAGAGAAAATTTACCATTGAGGTCATCAACTTCACCGTGCATTCTGTCACCAAGTACGTTGTCCGGCTGGCGTCGCGGTCAGGGGGCGTTGCTTTTCTCACGGTTAACTTCATATTTACAGGTAAGCTGGCTCATTGAAAGGAAAATATTTGAAGTTATTCTTCTACAATACATTTTAATTATTTTTTTTTACTTCTTTGTTGTAAGACTTTTTAGCCATAGTGATCCACACATAGAGTGTTTGTATTGAAAGTGGTAAACTAGCAATAAGGGGGGGGGGGATGAAGGTAAATGTTTAACGGCCTTTAATATTTTTATGATTAATTATTTGCGTCAGTTTTGGTAGAGACTCCTCGAAATACAGTAGATATCTGGTCATTCAATTATATATATATATATATATATATATATATATATATATGAACACATTCAGATTTTTTTTTTTGTTTCTGACATCCGTCCGTCACAATGGTCAAATCTAAAGTTCTGGAGTTCCTCACCAAAGCTCAGTCAAGCAAAAATATCACCAGCACCTGGTACTCGTTAACCTCGAAAGACAATTCATCGAAGAGAAGGATTTGCTCTGATTTCAAAACCCGGAGATGGAGTCCCGGCTGACGAGTACCATCCACCCCGAGGATTTTTAGATGTTTTTGTAGATGCCTGACTGGGCTTTGGTGGGGATTGAACTCGAGACATCGACCTTGAGATTAGATCAGTCTAGACATCTCGCCCACCCAATTATAGATGTGGCGTTTGCAAATTGAAATGACATTATCACAAGTAATGATTATCGAAGTATGTATGGTATGTCAAGGCTTTAATTTTGTGTTCAATAGCGCGCAAACAAAACTCCCGGAAGTTAGCACTAATTGTGATTCTTGTTAAAATGCGTTATTTGATGCATGTTTTATAAAGTTGAATGGCATTGCCACGCCATTGCTGGTTGCTATTTTTAATACAGTGTGTTAGTCCAAAAATTATTGCTTTCGATTCCCCTGTACTCTGCTTTGTTTCAGATCTGTTGTCTAGTCAAATTTTATTGGTTGACTGCTTGGTTTCAGATCTGTTGTCTAGTCAAATTTTATTAGTTGACTGCTTTGTTTCAGATTTGTTATCTAGTCAAATTTTATTGGTTGACTGCTTTGTTTCAGATTTGTTGTCTAGTCAAATTTTATTGGTTGACTGCTTTGTTTCAGATTTGTTGTCTAGTCAAATTTTATTGGTTGACTGCTTTGTTTCAGATTTGTTATCTAGTCAAATTTTATTGGTTGACTGCTTTGTTTCAGATTTGTTGTCTAGTCAAATTTTATTGGTTGACTGCTTTGTTTCAGATCTGTTGTCTAGTCAAATTTTATTGGTTGACTGCTTTGTTTCAGATCTGTTGTCTATGGTAATGTTAAAGCTTGACATCTTTGTTTCAGCTCATTTCTCTAGTGTACTTTTATGTGAACACGAAATCGACCACCACATTGTTAACGTACGATTGAGCAGCACAGCTGTTATCCACTTGTGCGTTCAGTCAAACATCGGACTGGGGGAGTATGTCAGCATTGATTCTCTTCCTTGTCCCATATACGACGCTAATCGGACCGCTAAATATGGGATCAGCGCTGACGTCATTAACAGGAATCGGCCAGAAGAGTACCACATGCAAGTTTTCATACGGAACATAACTATGGAAGACATCAGAACGACCAATCTTACTATAAAGCCATCAAGAGATGTTGAGATTAAAATAACTTTTTCACTTCAACTCAATGCAGGCAAGAAGAATAGGATTTCTTCATTGTTTATTAATATCCTTATTATCATGTAATAGATGAATTTAGTTTTGCCCAGTACCACCAGTAAGAAAACACTATACAGGCTAAATATATGCCATTATTCTTCAAAAAAAGCATCTACATAATTTGAACATGACTATCATACAACAACATACATTCTACACAAAAAAAAGAATATTTATTTTACTTACAAATGCTTCTAATCAACAACATAAGTTTGTAAAAAAAGATGAGGTGGTACAGGAAAGTTAAGAGCAATATGGCACTAGTTATTATATACGTGCATTGTAAGTGATAATAATAAACAAAATTGATGTCATTTCTCATTTAAGCTGTGTACCCTGCACCCTGCGATGACCACGTTACTAAGATGTATTTCTTCGCCAAACCGAGAGAGAATGTTTCTCTTCAATTCTGCATCTTGACCAAAGAAGTGATGCACTACATATTTCTCAACAACATTAGTTTCAGCTTGTTCAATGGGAATACGCATAGTAAAATAAACGTCTCGTACACCATGGAGCGAACTAAACGGGAACGTGTTCTGATTCAGAAATGTCACATTAATATATTGATTAATGATGTTGACTATGATAACTTTACAAGATATGAACTAATTATACAGTTCAGTGAAAGCACTTGGAAACACACGTTTTACTTGGTCGATGATGAATGTAAGGCTTAGACCTTTTGATCATTCAATCATTAAGCTTCAACTTCTACGTTTTAAATAATTCTAAAATTATGTTTTAGCTCAAATGTCCTATTGCAAAGCTCTAAAATTTTAAAATGATGATAATAATATTAATTTTTTTTTTAATATTTTAACGAAACTAAATTTTATTTTAAAGAAATAAAGTAGTAGTTAAATTAAAATAGTAAATGGAGTATATTAATCTTTAATAATGCCAAAAATAATTTTAACTTGGGATATTTAAATATACGCTCAACCAAAAATCATTGTTTTAAAGAAAAAGACAATAGGAAGAAGAAATGTAATGACTTTTGCTGAAACGATGTATCCAGTGCAACTCATATTGATATTTTTCAGTAACGGTACCTAATCCCATTCCGTGCAAAGATGGGACGAATGAATTAATTACCATAAAGACCATTCACACTGACTTCCTTTTCTGTATGAGAGTGTTTGGTGTAATGGACAGCCACGTAATTATCAATCAAAAGAACTACCCCATAGAGTTACACAATCGAGACGGCAAGCTTGTGATACAGCAGCACTGGTCTTTAACGAATTTTGTTTGCTACCTTCACATACATATCAACGATATTGTCATTAGTGACTTTGGAACGTACAATATAAGTGTGCCGTCCATGGCAAGAAACCACCAATTTACTTTACAAGAGGAAAACGGTAATAATGTATTATGTTAGTGTGAATATTCGTCATTTCGTATTATCAGAGTTCAAAGCTACTTCGTTACTCTTTGATTTCCTAAGGGGTATACTACTGAGTAAAGTTAGTTTACAGTCATTGTTTTACACGTTTCCTTTCTTTTTTTCTACCTGAATTCTCGTCGTTTGTAAAACATCTGCATTAGCTTCCAAAAAAAAGGACGTTGTTTTGAATTTCACACCTAAACCTATACGCTAAATTTGCACACAAAAGAAAGTGATTAAACAATAACTTTAAGTTAAACTGTCTAAAAGTAATTAATAAACTATATATTATACAAAATACCACTTCCAAACACTATTTTTTATCAAGCAGCTGTTGTAATGGGATTATATGCTTTTAAATAGTTGCATATATGTATGTGTCAATATAGTATGACACCGCAACTAATTCAGACGTCTGTATTGAAAATGGACAGTTTTTATTTCCGCCCCCCTTGTCCGTACTAAATTTTGCGTCCGTATTTGTCCGTGCTTTCCCATTGTCGTCCGGCTTGTCCGTTCTTTTGGCAGCGGTGACGATTTACTTGTTTTATTTCCATTTAATTTTTGACATCTTCTTTCTCCGCAAAGGTCAGCGCAGTGAACAGTTTCAGCGCAAATCGTGCGGAACATTTCTCGTTAAGCTAAGAATTGACTGCTGAACCTGAATGACTCTGCGTGAGACTGTCTGCGCGTGCAAATGAAATCTTCCCAGGGGAAGTGGTTGATATAGTTAACTTAGGTGAAACACAGGTAAAAAGAATGGCGGTCGCAAAACATTTCTGTAGATCAACAAATGGGTGCAACTACCTCAGCATTTCAAAGCAGATGCTCTCTGTGGAATTGCAACTACTACTGCTTGAGTTTTCATTCAGCCTTCCTGGTACAACAAGCACCTTTTGAGCGAACTTTTTCTCATGTAAACAATGCTTGAATGCCTGAAAAATCGCCGCTGAAAGCAATCACTCTGAGAGATATTTTGATTGTTCGGTGTAGCATTGATCCATTGTGTCCTGAATTTATGATAAGCTTCTTGAGAATGGAAATTTGTTAAAAGATATGGATGAGTTTGCAAAATATTTACAATAGTTTGTAACAAAATGATGTACAGAACGATATTAAAAGTCATGCACAACACAACATCATTTTTTTTTTTTTTGAGCCCCCTCCCCAGGGGTTCGTCACCCCCCCCCCTTCCACCCCTGCCGCTTTTTGCTGTGAGCCTTTATTTCCGTATTTGGCATCCAGAAAATCTGGTTAACTTACTTTGTTTCCGTAATTGGCATCAAGAAAATCTAGTAAGCCTAACTTAGTGTGTACACATTTTATATAACTGTATATATTGGGCTATCCTTTATTTTAACACCCCCTCGTTACAGATAAGCCATCTCTCCATTTGGTTTTCCTGGTGTTTGTATCGTCTTTTATTTTTTATTACTAGTATTTTTAAAACGGTATACTTATTTTATGCCAACCACAGAGTTCTTACTACACAGTGACTTTGTCAATAAATGTCTACCCGTACCAATGCTATTACAAAAATTACCAGTGCGTCTGAATCATTCTACACAATTGAAAAGTTTCAGTGCAAACGTAGCGGCACTTGCACGTGTACTGCAGAAGCTTATCTGTAGAATTGGCAGTCTGTGAGAAAACAGTATCTTTATCGGTCTTTAATTTGTTTTAAAAATCACCTTAAATTGGATGTACCGGTATTAATTTATCAATTTTTATTTGGAGATTATTTAAAGAGTGATGATTTAGATTTGGTTATTACTAGAGCTGAGAAGTGTGCTGACACGCTGCCTGTCGCCTTAGCATGAAGCCAAAACGCTAAAATTATTTTTAATTTTGAAGAAAAATAATTTACGAAATTTTAAAAGCGGGTGTCGCAAAAAAAAACAAAAAAAATGTGGGGAGTATTCCATAAAAACGCACCTAGTTCAAAATGGAGTAAAATTTCGCCAAAATAAATGGTTCGGGAGTCCGATTGTATGGCCTAAAAGAGTATGTTTGATGAACAATTTGGTATAGTAAGTACCTGAAACAGTTACTTTCAATTGCCAAATAATCACATTTACTTTAACTTAAACAATGACATGAAAATTGTAATTTACTGACAACATGTAGGCCTATATTTATTAGTTTTAAACGTACTTCTCCCCCAACTTTTTGTTTAGCTATGGCTTTTTGAAATATAAATTCCAGTACAATACCCGGTATTGAAAATTGCACATGATAAAATAATTGTTGTTTTTTTCCTAAGGTAAAATCAAGTTATGTGACGAAGAAATGATCTTCCTTGATTACAAGACATCGCTACAGGAAGACGCCATCATACATCTGTGTATACAAGTGTACAGCTTTGAACGTGTCACCTTGCACCTGAACGGGACTCTTTTGTCGGAGAACTCTACAGACAAATTCAGCTTCCAGGTTTTCGGCACCATTGTTGAGTCAATGAAGTATCACATACGCGTTATAATAAGAAATATAACACACTCTGACTTGGGTGTGTATGTTCTGTCTGTGCTCCACAAAGGTGATGGGCCGATAATAGTCACATTTTTAATCGCCGAAACAGAAAAAGGTAAATGAGCTATTTGTAAATGTTTAAATTTGTTTGTTTGGATTTTGTCACTTTTTAAATTAAAAAAAAAATTTAAGTGAAATGGACTGTTTGTTGATTTTTTTCGTAATGTATGTAAAATTGACATTATATGTTTCATGTAGATTTTACCTAGATAAAGATATGTATATATTATATATATATATATATAATTTCATTATTAAATAACTAGAATAAATGACCCGATGTGATCGGGATAATAATGGTAGGTCCTTTGCGATAGTTTCTAGTTTCTACCTAGTATCATATGTAGCAGATGCATACTTCTCATAACTTAATGATTTTAGAAACGTGGATATTAACTACGATTGCTTTTAGGAAATTCGAACGTACTTAAATCGTATCGGTTCTTTGGCGTTATGTCACTATAGCTCATTCTTATATATAATATATATATATATATTATTATGCTTATGAATACATATATATTTATATTTATTTATTTATTTAATTAACAGCAGATGATTCTAAAGATTTAACAGACAGTAAACAAATTATATTCGTTACAATCACAATGTCCGTAACAATTATGGTATTGTTGGTTCTATTCTTGTCTTGCGTGCTTTCCAAAAGAGGTAAGCCGAGACCTATACTATAAGTAATGAATTACAAGAGCGTTTAAGGTTATTTGGTACCAAGGTAGAGCCTAAAATAAAATGGTTTCTATTTAAATAGTGCGTTTAATCCATGTTTTCATTTTAACTACTAAATTCTGTACTTGTATTTTCTTACATTGCGTGAATATTTTCTCTATTGTTTGGATAGTTTAACCTATCTTATTTATTGGCAAGAAAGAGCACTATTTGAAGACACTTTTTTTTTTTAAATTAACATTATCGCTTCAATGCTAAAATTAAACAATTAAAAGGAGTTTCTGCTTTAGGCCATCGAAGCCATCTTTAGCAGAAAATATGCTTTAAAAAATGTGTTTTCGGATATTTTTTGTTTGTTTATCTCTCTTTTTAAAAAAAAATAATTCGAAAATATAGATTAGATTAAGTAAGAGTACCCGGTAGGTAAAAAGAAATTATAAAAATTTAAATTTATACAGGTAATAACAAAAAAACAAACAAACTGTCGTCTCATTATAAAGCCGATGACATAACGTAGTTTATAAACATTATTTAATTCAGCATTTAACATAAACGTTTCTTCTTTCAACTATGTATGACTCGACACAATTCATTTTACACGATTGGCATTTTTTTTTAAAAATCATATTGAAGTAAATATTTGACTATCTATTTTTTGTTTTTCCAGCTCGTAAAACCAAGCATGCCGTCAACACAGTCGATACTACATTGGATGTGAGAATGAAACGCCATGAAATGTACCGTCTTTCTTCGGATGCTATAGAAAGCCCCATTGGCGATTTTGCAGAACAAGTCGGCACAAACATTGACGATGTGACAGGCCGAGAAGTAAGGGGTCCCCGATACGTAGTCGGCCACGAATATATCGATGTCATTGACGCGTCCAGTGCCGAGGCTGATCAACATCAACCGAGTCAATACGATACACTGGATGAAAGCGATGCTTACGAATCTGTAAGCTACAAGCAAGTTGGCTTGTGTGATGGGGATGCCGAGGTCCATAAGCAGACCGATCACGGCGTTCAAATTTCACAAGTTGAATATGCTCGGGAAATCAAGCACGGCAGACAACGCATTTCAAAAAGCTCAACCCTGTAATAACAGAGAATAATTTTTTGAACGAAATGGTGTACATATATCAATTTGAATGTTATTACATTTTCATAAACATCTTGGAGCAGTTATTTCAATAATGTACATTTTTGGCGGTTTTTTTTTTAAATTTTTATTGTAACATGTTTAACGTAAAGAAGTGCTACATAAATGTGTGAATGTTTGTGTATGATTGTGTACCGGTATATCGTATGTGGAGAGATAGACGTATTGGGTAAGGAGGAAGATAGAAAACAAAAGACAGGGTTGGCATAGTAATTAGTTGTTGTTTTTTTTGTTTTTTTACGTAATGAAAATGCTAGATTAGTATGAATCACTGACATGAGTAACAAGTTTTAAAGTTCACTCGAATGTTGCAAATGAGAATTCAGTGTTTATTTTTCAGCAATTAAATCACATCCTGGTTAACATAGCAACCTTGGGACTCAGTCCAAAACAAAATACTAATTAAAACATTAAACAAACAAAAAACAAACAAACAACGTTTTTAAAAAAATTCAGTACATTGCCATTAGTCGTATGCGACCACTCAATATTGCCTATGCATTTTCATATGAGTTTCAAGGTATGGAATTGTGTTGTTGTTTTTAATAAACACTAAAACAATGTTATTATTCTCTATGTTTACATACGTATGAATGCATGAAAATATGAATCCCCACGTATGAACTAAATGCGTTACAATTATTGTTGCAATAGTAATACATTTTGCCGAGTCTTCCCGTCCTTATCGTTTAGAATACAGTGTATCCCTCTTTGAACTAGCCCTACACTCTCTACATTAGTGCTGATTTATTCCCATACACGTTCTTTTAAACCTCAACAGTTTTATTTTAATGAAAATTGCTGGACATGATTGACACTTCTTTTAAATCATCAGACCCACATTCGTGCCCCATTTAGAATCATCTTTTCAACCAACCAATAAAAAAAAAAAAAAAAAAAAAAATATTTTTTTACTACTGTTAGCACTATTTTTGTTCTGCAAAATTTTATGCTTTAAGGTCATGATTAAAATGATTTTATTTGTAACTAAAACAATTTGTCGAAACGTTTACATTTGTATTTTGTTTAACCATTATTAAACCTTAATATAAATTGTTTTATTTACACAAATTGTTTGTGTCGGATTAAATTACTTTAACACTTTATCAAAGTCAAACACTATTATAAAAGGAACAAACTAACACATACTTATACATTGCTAAACATTTTAAATAAAGCAAACACAAGACATTGGCTTCAATTTAAATTGAAGACCAGAACCTTTTGTAAAAACTTAGGCTGTACATCTACATCCTACATGCCGGGGTATTTAGATCAAGTTTTGATGAATTTAATGGTCCTGGTCATCATTTTTTTTTTTTAAATATGCAATTAGATCAGTTGATGTGTTTTTATTTACACTTGTTAGAATTATGCTTGAGTTTCCCAAATTTTTAACATGGCAATTAGATTCGGCGGCATTCAACAAACAGCTTTTAGGAATTTGTTTAGAAAATTGGGTTAATTTGCATTACAGCAATTTGTGTTATCTTATTTATTGGCCCACTAATGGACAGATATCAAATGCTATGCTACAAGACTTTTTTTTTTAGAATGACCATTGACTGCACTAAATAATTGGAAGATCTATGTCAAGAATCCTCTCAGCTTTAATCTTTATGTGGAGGCATTACAAATCTCGCATGACATGAAAGGGCCCGGGGGTGGGTGGGTGGGGGGGGGGCGGTATTCTTAATGTAGTTGTTTCCTTCGTTTCAGATATTTTGCAAAGCTCTGTAAGTGACATGATTTTTGTGATGCCTGGTCTTGTAAATTTATTGGAAGAAGATGACACTGTAATGAGGAATAAGGGATTTTAAATGTCAGACTTGACAAATCCACACCAAATAAAATAATTAGGCCATCTGCAAAACAAAACAGAACAAATGTCACCAGAAGGAGTTATACCAACCCATAGAATTGCAAATTGCAGAATTCATGTTGATAGACGCGTGGAATATGCAAAAGAAATGTAAATATTATAAAAACCTTCTGGCGGACTATGAAATAACAATCCTCAAAATTTTTAAAATATGCAACTGTACTAAAACTCTTCATAAACCAAACACATTTGCTGAATTTAATTGTGTTCTTTTTTTTTTTTTATATTAACTAGTACAAAACTTAGCATACCTATCAAAAACCAATTAATCTATAACAAAAAAAAACCCATTCGTAAATTAAATGTGGCGCAAATTGTTTCGGCGTTTCAAATGTTTTTGAAAGGTCAAGCCTGTCAGATTTTCAGTCTTATTTGGGGTGGGGCCGACCATTTCTGGTAGATGCACCAACATCTTGTTTACAGGCAACATTTTACCGCTACCAGTTGGACCAGCCATAAGAGCCGTAAAGGAATGTGTCCACATAGGATCCATCACTAGTTGTGTTGCATCGTCTTAGTATGACTCTATCTTATAATGTTCATCTATTGTTTATGTTCTCTTTGAGACATGGCTTCATGCAAACTCGTCAAAAAGCTCTGCAAAGCTTTACAACAAGACCACTATCGCTTTTGCACTGGGTGCCCCGAGGAGCAGGGCAACCAACTTGCTCACTCATGTGTGATGGCGGAATCGTTTGAGGAGCTGGTGGATGCGCGAAGGAGGAGGTCCTGGGGATGTTTGGTTACAAAATAAGCCAACGGTTAAAACGTTGTAATCGGAGGAGAACCCGTCGGCATAGAACACCATAATCATCAAGTGATGAGTCCAGGGCGGAGGCTACCCCTCCTTCCATTCCGGAGTCCCCAGAGACTTCCTCCCCTTCTTGCTCTCCTCCTCCTATACCCAAATATGCGGCTAGTTCCTCCCCTTCTTCCCCTCCTCCTACCCATCACAAAACAGACCCTCCATGTGCCTCCTCCTCCTCCAAGCCCATCGCCACAAAACTTACACCTCCTCCTCCTACCCCATAACCCATCCCTCTGCCTCCATGTGCCTCCCCCTCCTCCTACACCCGCTGCACATCTACCAGCTGAGCCATCCCCTGGGGAAACCACACCACAAGCGGCCCCAGACTCAATGGAAGGTCCCTCGGGGGATGATTTTAATTATTTATTATTATTTGAGGGGCCTGACCCACTCTATGAAATTATATATAAACTATACGATACAACTTTGCTGTCTTTATCTGATATAATTTCTTTGTTGTCTTTAATTTTGACAACCACACATTACATAATTAAAACCACTCATTATAAAATACACAACATTTACCATCATACTTTGAGAGCCACTCATAATAAAAATGAGAATAATAATTAGAAAAATGAGAAATCATTGTACAACAACACAAAAATAATTAAAATCAAAATACATAATGAGAATAACGGCATTAATTAAAATACAACCAAAAGGACCCCTACATAATGAGAACCACTCATTAGAAAAAATTGAGAGCCACTTGATGAAAAACAATTAAATTAATTATGCCTAATTGTTGTATTAAGTAATTAAAAACAACAAAACAAGCTACTATTAATTTAAAAAATGGGAAATTATTAAATTTAAAAGTAATTATCACCCCTTAATTACCTCCTATAGCAGGTCCTATAAAACCATTCCCCCTAAACCTCCTACATACTATACTACTCCTCGCACTACCACATGTATTTCACACAATCTCATTCTATGATACAGCCCTCGTCCGTGAACATAATACAACTTTGCCACTATGACACCGATCCTCATTAAATATACACCTCCCGACCCTCATTGACAAAGACAACGTCACGCCTCGTTTACTCAAACTTGCACTCATTTTGGTGAACATTATTTACTGTTATCCCACACATCACAACAGTGGTTCTCATACCCTTGACACCTGGGAACAGCATATGCCATGTCATTCTGGAAACATATTCCGTCATGAACAAGGTAAATGCAGAACTATTGCTTTGCTATAAAGTTTGCTACTGCGCTGAGTGTTTCTAAGATCGTGAAGTTTTCAAAAGATTTGCTACAAGACTGAGGTTTGTGAATGAACCGTGGATAGTGGATATCGTCTGTAAATTTTGCCAGTACATTGTGAAAGCAAGATGATTAAAATGACAACAATGCCAATGCCATTAATATTCATGTGTTAGCCTGGTATTTTCTTTGGATGTTCATACGGTAACAGATTCTGAAAAAGCAGTACTCTACATTATGGCTACTTTTACATGTAGAAATTGCTACAAAATGATTCCTAGCAGACAAGGCCTGTTAGCAACCGCGTAAATACCGCTCAAAATACTTAAAGGACAAATGTCACATTTTTAAGGTCTATCTACTGTGTGCTGTCTTTTGTGATAGCTAAACTTGAAGGATGAGCTAATGCTAAAGTGAAGTACAAATGACACATTTGAAAGTATTTTTGTGATAATTAAGACTTGAAGTTGAAGGGTTAGCAAATGCAGAAGTACAAATGTCACATTTATAAGGGTTCTCTTTTGTGTGCAGTCTTTTGTGTCTAATAAAACTTGAACTTGTAGTAAATGTAGCATTACAAATGTCACATATATAGCATGTCTGTGCAATATTTTTTAATCTTATTTGCAAGGCCTTCATTGCATGTCCGTGTTGTACTACTAAAGTTTGTCATGGATTTCCACCTGTGTGCTGTCTTTTGTGATTAAAAAGACTTGCATGGCTGAGCAAATGAAGAAGTACAAAGGTCACATTTGTAAGGTTTCTCTCATGTGTGCAGCTTTTAGTGACGAATAAAACTTGTAGAATTAGCAAATGCAGACGTACAAAGGTCACATTTGTAAGGTTTCTCTCATGTGTGCAGCTTTTAGTGACGAATAAAACTTGTAGAATTAGCAAATGCAGACGTACAAAGGTCACATTTGTAAGGTTTCTCTCATGTGTGCAGCTTTTAGTGACGAATAAAACTTGTAGAATTAGCAAATGCAGACGTACAAAGGTCACATTTGTAAGGTTTCTCTCATGTGTGCAGCTTTTAGTGACGAATAAAACTTGTAGAATTAGCAAATGCAGACGTACAAAGGTCACATTTGTAAGGTTTCTCTCATGTGTGCAGCTTTTAGTGACGAATAAAACTTGTAGAATTAGCAAATGCAGACGTACAAAGGTCACATTTGTAAGGTTTCTCTCCTGTGTGCAGCTTTTAGTGACGAATAAAACTTGTAGAATTAGCAAATGCAGACGTACAAAGGTCACATTTGTAAGGTTTCTCTCCTGTGTGGTGCCTTTTGTGACGAACAAGACTTGTAGAAATAGCAAATGCAAACGTACAAATATCACATTTGTAAGCTTTCTCTCCAGTATGCTGTCTTTTGTGACAAATAAGACTTACAGGTTCAGTACAAATTTCACATTTGTTTCACATTTATTTGTAAGGTCTCTCTCCAGTGTGCTGTCTTTTGTGACAAGTAAGACTTGAAGAGAGAGCAAATTCTGAAGTACAAATGTCACATTTGTAAGGTTTATCTACTGGGTGCTGCATTTTGTGATAAGTCAGACTTGTAGAATTTGCAAATACAGAAGTACAAAGGTCACATTTGTAAGGTTTCTCTGCTGTGTGCAGTTTTTTGTGACGCTTAAGACTTGTAGAATTAGCAAATGCAGATGTACAAAGGTCACATTTGTAAGGTTTCTCTCCTGTGTGCTGCCTTTTGTGACGAACAAGACTTGTAGAAATAGCAAATGAAAACGTACAAATGTCACATTTGTAAGGTTTCTCTCCAGTGTGCCGTCTTTTGTGATTAATCAGACTTGTAGAATTAACAAATACAGAAGCACAAATGTCACATTTGAAAGGTTTCTCTCCAGTGTGCTGTCTTCTGTGATCAATAAGACTTGAAGGCTGAGCAAATGCAGAAGTACAAATTTCACACTTGTAAGGTCTCTCTCCTGTGTGCCGTCT